TCCAAACTCCATATTCAATAGTGTACTTGTACCATTTTGAATTAAAAGTACTTAAAGAGATAAGATTTTTCTTCAGATCTGGAACATGTCTCACTGTGTCAAGTGTTCTAGCCATCTCATCAAACATCTTTATTCTGATCTGACCAATACGAGCTATCCAACAAGGTGTGTTATTACAGGTCATCACAACACCTTTTGAAACTTCTTCATATGTTGAAGATAATTCCCCATTGGGTGACATACGAAAAGTGCAAGCTGTATCCAAAGTCTAAACCTCATCAAGTTTGGAGTTATAGTCGCACATAAGTAGAAGCTCTTCATCATTGATAGGATTTTTTGCGATACTTGCTTCTCTTGAAATTTCTGATTATTTATTTACAGTTGACTTTAATTTATTTAGTAACTTATAACAATCATTTATCAAGTGTCCCTTTCTCTTGCAATAATTACAAAATTTTAAATTAGATTTTGAGTTGCCCCTCAAACGACCACATGAACAATGAGACCATCTTCATAATCCCAGATGCTACAAGATGTTTCATCTTCTCCTTTGAATATAGAGTATTGTACACTTTTTCGATGGTGAGAGTATTACGACTATATAGAATCGTGTATCTAAAAGACATGTATGAGGCAGGCAATGAATACAACAAAATAAATCACAAGTCTCGTTCATCATATTTGACCTCCAAAATCTCCAAATCGGTGAAGATCTCTTTAAAAGTAGCTAGATGATCATCAAGATATGTACCTTCTGTCATACGATGAGAATATAGACGTTGTTTCAGATGCAATTTGCTAGTAAGACTCTTCGTTATGCATCATTGCTTCAATTTGAATCATAAAGCAGAGACTGGCTTCTCCTTCAAAACTTCGTGAAGAATATTATTGGAAAGATGAAAATATATTTGTAATAAGACCTTTCGATCCCTCCGTTTTTCTCCTCCATAGTTCAAGTTGTGAGCATCTTATCAAATCCCAACAACGCGTCATCCAAATCTATCTCAGTACTATTCGCATATTTACTTGCCACCGAGAATCTCGTATTGCGATTTAATAGCGGAATATGATAGTTCATTGTTGCCACCATGAAAAACCTCGATCTTTCCAAGAATTTCAACACCAAAAACTCTGATACAACTTATGAAAGTTGGAATACCTTAATATTGGAATGCCTTAATACCAATTTGTTGTGAAAAATAAGAGATTAAACCACAATGTGAAGTAAAGATCACATGACTACAACAATGTAATTTTGCAAAGAATTGAGATTTTATTATAATAAGGAAAAAGAATACAAAAAAATCTGTATTTATACTTCTTCTAACTTCTTTCTAAAGTACAATAAAGTGCTATAT